GATGAACAAGCAGTGACAGGACGAGAGCGATGTGGGGATAAAGAAGAAAGTGGGTGATGCAAGGACCATCGCAGCATGCGTCAGAACCACTGAGAGAGACGGGTGACGTGTAGGATAGCGACGTTGGCGGGAGCGTGTGTAGCAGGTCCATCCTTTAGCGAGGGTTGGTGGGGAATGGCCACGAGAAAGCATGCGACGAGTGAGTGTTGTCGCTGCAGTTCGGAAGTCCTGCCAATTATTGCAGATGCGTTCAAATCTGGTCAATTGCCCACTGAACACACCGGCCGATTGATGGGAAGGGATGTTGGAGGTAGCACTTGGATAGCGAATAACAGGGAAATCCCAAGCAGCCGCTTTATCAAACATGCTCATGCGAAGCGAACCATCAGAACGTACCCGTAGATGCATACCTAAAAAGGTACACGAGCCATCTGTAGCCGTAGTTTCCTTCCACTCGAGCCCATAATGCTCTGAAGGAGGAGGTAATTGCCCCCATGAAAGAACATCATCAATGAGGCGGTAAGTGAAGGCGTATCGCTGAGCAGCTTGGGGATCATGTTGACGAATGTCATCAATAAAGYGTGCTTCATCCCAATAGAGCGTTAGATTGGAGATTTCTGGGCCAGCATTTGTTCCCATTGGAATACCAATGATTTGCTTTTGAAGAGTRCCATCTCTAGTGTACAGAAAAGTGTTTTCTACAACAAAGCGAAGATGTTGGAGAATCTCAGAAACGGAAAGGCTGTCTGCTACTGAAATGGTTGTCCATTGGTCAGAGCAAGGCCCACGAATAAACATGTTCAAGGCTCTGCAGCGCGAATACATGCGGGTATGCTGAAGGGCATAAGCATGAGCTTCATCAACAGCCTTTGCCACATTATTCAATAATGCGGTCATGAGGAATATATATTGCAGGGCGACCACCCCTGACCGGTAGGTGCTGACCAGCCAACCGGTCGGCTGGTCGGCATCCGACCAGTCAAGGGCCGCCGACCGTCGGGGTACGCAAAACTGTTATAGGGTCAAAAAAGTCCGTAGAGGCCTATGGTAGGGTCTGGGAGATGTCCTTAGTATGGTAGGGTGACTAAGAACCGGTAGACCTACAAGGTCAGCCAGGCCTGGATTTAGGTACCCCAGGCCTGGGAAGGTTGATGGTCAGGCTCACTCCGGACCGGGAAGATGATTTTTTTTATTTTTTTTCCGAATTTGACCAGAAGTCAAAGGATTATCCAGAAGTTATCCAGAAGAAGTTTACCGACCCCCCCCGCCCCCCCCCCCCCCCCCCCCCCCCCCCCCCCCCCCCCCCCCCCCCCCCCCCCCTCCAGCAGCTCTACCAGGCAAACTTGCGCAACGAATTGACAGCCTTGCGGAACAAATTTGACAGCCACCGGATTTTCAGATGAATAGTGCAACAGGACCTAAATGGCTGGAGACGCCAGTGACAACAAAACCGAAAACACGATCCTGGCGGTTCGTTTTCTTTTGGCGTGCAGTGGAAATCCGCCACGGGAAAAAGAGACTCGGATGTACTATTGGTTCCAGAACAATAATCTATAGGATAGAAACCCATTATTGCTCAGAAGCATGGTAACCCCGGACTCGGACACCAGACCCTTCCGGACCGTCTTCCAGACCGGTCCGGACTGTCCGGTGATCCGGACATCACCGGACACCCGGACATCACCAGCCCCGGACAATCCCGTTTGGGTGGGTGGGTGGGGGTTTTGGCAGGCACTTACCTGCTTTGCACTCTATAGTTCAGGCAGCAGAGCACGTGTCTCGCAGCAAATCAACAAGCACATTTAACTAGCAGACATGCAGAGTTGCAAACAGTGCAAAACAGGCACAAGACTAAAGAAACACAGAATTTTTTCTTGAAAAAAGTATGATTAACTTTGAACTTTGAACTTTGGATTTAGTAAATTTAAGTTGATAACTTCATATCATGGTAACCCCGGACCCGGACACCAGACACTTCCGAACTGTCTTCCGGACCAGTGTCTGGACCGGTCCGGACATCACCGGACACCGGACACCGGACACCGGAAAGTCCGGACCGGTCCCCGGGGTGCAAAAATGTCCGGACCACAAAAAAAAAAAAAAGAAAAAAAAAAAAAAGAAAGGGAGCATTCAGGGGGTGTTGGCCTGCTTTACACTCTGTACTTCAGACAGCAGAGCACGTGTCTTGCAGCAAATCAACCACCACATTTAACTAGCAGACATGCAGAGTTGCAAACAGTGCAAAGCAGGCACAAGACTAAAGAAACACAGAATCTTTTTTTGAAAAAAGTATGATTAACTTTGAACTTTGAACTTCGGATTTAGTAAATTTAAGTTGATAACTTCATATATGACTTAAAAGTTCGAACTTTGCAGTTCAATTCAGAACGTCAGAGTCTTAACTTCATAACTTCATACATAAAAGTTTGAACTTTGCAGTTCAATTCAGAACGTCAGAGTCTTCAGACTGGCAGCACTGTCAGTGCTCTCTCTCTCTCTCTCTCTCTCTCTCTCTCTCTCTCTCTCTCTCTCTCCCCCTTTCCCCCCAATGGGCAGCGGCGGGCGCCACGTCGAAACGGCCGCTTTGAAATTGCTCGGGCCTGTGCGAAACCCGCCACCCAAAAAACCTGCAGTGTCTTGTGTCCGGACCTCGAGGCCCTGTCCGGTGGGGTAAAACGACACTGAAAAATCACCCCGTTATTTTTTGAGGGGCGTCCAGGACCGGATAAACGTCCTGGACCGCCCCGTTTTTTTTTTTTGGGGTTGCCCCAGGGCCTCCATCCGGACATAAGGACCGGGCACCGGACACCGGACTGTCTGGAACCCGGTCCGGACGTCCGGACGGTTACCATGAGTCAGAAGTTAATTTTGGCGGCGACAGATTACACACACACACACACACACACACACACACACACACATACACACACACACACACACACGCACACACGCGCATGCGCGCCCGCGCGCGCTCACCCAACACACCCGCACCCATCCACACTCATATCCGCACACCCCCACACCCCCTCCCCAGCCAGCTACTGGGGCCTAAAACCCAGTCAAAGCGATACATCTGTGCTCCATGTCCAGTCATGACACGATATGCATTGCGGTCAGCAGTGGAGTAGGGTCCCATGCTGCCCTGCTGAAGCCAGAGAGAGAGGAGAGGGAATGCTTGTGCACATAGCTACCGGCAGTCCCCAACAACCATAGATTGTGCAGGCAGGTGACAGGGAGGAGAGGAAGGAGGACTTGAGACACAGAAGAGGCCTGATGATGGGCGAAGCTTACCTGGTGGCTGGCAGCCATAACCATATGGAATAATAAGACTCCAAGAGACTACACGGCACCAGCATTCTTCGATCAACACACACCCACCACTTCACCCGAATACAACGTACGTCGTATGGGCATTATAGCTGTATTTGGGGCAACTAGGAGTCTAAATACAGCAATACTGACGATACGTTGAGTCGGTTGACGACGGCAGCACCGTCACAACATAGCCCAAAAGCTGAGGGAGAAACGGCAAGAGAAATACAATCCAACGAACACAGAGACATGATAGCAGTACATATAATGGGCTAAGATGGCACTTGAGAGAGAGTTATGGGACAATGCTTGCCTTTGCAGCATTCTCCTTTCTTGATGTAACGAGCCTGCGCTGTTTTCGTTTAGCTGCATATGGTTTCAGAAGATACGTCTGCACAGACAGATACAAACCACAGGAGAAGCAGTCAGTCTGCACCGCATCCCTATACCCGCAAATCATCAGTTCTACAAAATACCCAAAAAAAGAGAGCAAAACGAGGGCACTTATACGACCAATGTTGTGCTACTGCTCCGCTGTGCACGCATTGCGTGCTCCCTCCATTGCACTAATCACTCTAGACCCCCTGGTCTGTTTCTTTTTCTTTTTTTTTATAGTAATACCGTAGTGCAAGGAACATGAGCGAGAGCGATAAACAGAATTCCACATTGCAAAAAAAATCACGCTGTAGCCCAGATCGTCGTGTACCAAGCAGAAAGCACAATGCACCGAGTTATCAGCCAACTAAGAGCTATATACAATGAACTCAAATGTCAATGCTGACACTCTCTGTCCGCACCAACACAGTATCCAATGTCGCTCTTCTCTATTGGCGCTCAAGCGCCCAGTCTATCTACTCAGCACCTATACTAGCCTACACTACGTTCATGCAAGGGAATCACTTCGTTGCCAAAGACCAATGTATGTGACAATGTCGCCAATGCAGACTGCCGGCATACACCAGGTACGTGTCTCTATTCTCTCACATCACCCCTCTGACTTCCCACAGTGTGCCTACCCGACACCCAGAGACCACCATCATCATCACCAGCCTCCGCTGAGCAAGCCCGGCTATGCCTGCTCAGCGCCTGCTGCACCAGCAGCGCCCAACACCACGGTGCGCCCATGTGCGCCTCTTCCAGCCCTTGGCCTACCAGCGGTCTCCAGCGCTCAAACCAGCAGCACCGCCGCCAGCAAGCACACGGCCAGAATCCCCTCTGGCTGCCGTGCTCACTTTCCTTTATGGAAAGTGAACGCTGCTTTAACAAGCTCTGAGCCTGGATGTACGAGTTTCCAGTAGCTTCCAGCGGGGCCCCAGTGTCTGTGCCCAGGCCCTCCATCACTGCTCCGCACGCCCAGGTAGCCCACGAGACTACAAGTGTTCGCAGCAATCTCATTGGCTGTTGGCCAGTGTGTGACGAAGATGCTGCATTCTCATTGGCCCACAGCCATTCTGTGATGTGTATGAGTTTCCAGTAGCTTCCAGTGGGGCCCCAGTGTCTGCGCCCAGGCCCTCCATCGCTGCTACGGTACTGGGCCCTTTACAGTTGGGCACGCCCAGGTAGCCCACGAAGTGTTCGCAGCGATCTCATTGGCTGTTGGCCAGTGTGTGACGAAGATGCTGCATTCTCATTGGCCCACAGCCATTCCGCGATGTGCCGGCCTCTGGTTGCTCGCGCCCCCTGGCTCACCCCTGCCTCTCGAGCTGCTGCTTCTGGAAGAAGCCAGGAGAAAGGCTCATGTTACCCTCTAACCAACAGGCATGCTGCAAGTTTCTGATACCCCACATGCTGAATTTGACAAAAATAGGCCTCACGTAAATATTCCAGCCTGCCTTCAATTAGGGCAGGCACAAGTGTGTACGGGCCCTCAGTCGAGATGTGGGGTGAGCCCTAGAAGGGCCACTGCGAAAAGTCAGGCCCGCATGTAGATTCCAACAGCCCTTTAGCATGATCGCACTGGCCTGTACACAGGCCTTTTCCAGCACTGCCGAGGACTCAAATCCTCTCAGTAGCCAGTTAATTGAACTTGCTAACTTAATTCAATTCACTTTATTATAAGTTTGTACTTGCCAAGCTTAATTCGATTCATTTTCTTTAAGTTTCTTATAAGTTTGTACTTGCCAATGACCACACTACTCCTCGGGCTACAAGAAAACCCGAAACCCTCACACCTATCCATTACCAAGCATGCTACATACACCAAAAAGAAGGTTCATGCTTAAACTACGAGGCGGACAGGCTCTGAAGAGTCTGAAACAGATTGTACTGGTTCTATTATTCTATATATACTCCATTCCGACGCGCAGACAGACGACATTGACTAAAACGGTAAAACCTCTTGAGCTAAGAACCTGACAGGCTGACAGAGCTTTTTTTTTTCCGTTCCAGTGCACCAAAAAAAAAGACGGGGAACAAAGAATAGCTCAAGAACTCAGCTGAATCCAGATTCCATCCGGACAGACAATCAAGACCAGGAGCTCGACATCAACTTCTGTAAGCTATCTCTCACCTTGAGCACAATGTATAGCGAACATGGAATAACCACAGCCCCAAGCGCAAAGTATGGGTTCAATGTTGACGACAGCAGCATCTGTAGCGGCAGCCAATGAATCAAAGAAAATAACAAACAAGGAACACAAGAAGCAAGGCCATAGTCAGACTTTCACTTTTTGGTCGGAATCTGGGACTGATTGCGGTCACATACATCCCTAAGCCCATAGTTAAGGCCATAGTCACGACTTTCACTTTTTGGTCGGAATCTGAGTCTGATTGCGGTCACATACATCCCTAAGGCCATAGTCAGACTTTCACTTTTTGGTCGGAATCTGCGACTGATTGCAGTTGCATACATCCCTGAAAATCCTATTAGTCTGAAGATTCCCATAGTTGGCCTAACAAACACACATAGAATGACAAAACTGACAAGTCGTAAAAAAACCTTTCGCGAAGGTAGTATAGTAAAGTTATATAAACACATTTGTTGACTCCATCAGAAACCCCCTTGTCCTCACACAAGTGCTTTCCTTTCTTTCGCAATTGGGTGGCATATTTGGCATTGTCTTTCCTTGTGAATTTGCACTTTGGAAATGACCAGGTTCGTAACAGGTGACTCAGATTCCAAACAACCTAGGCCATCTCCTCTACCTCATGCTTGCTCTCTCCACCCCCAAACCTTTGAGATGGCCATGGGGAGGTAGGAGGTGTGTTACACTCGGCGCAAGGGGATCCCAACACCTTTGGATGTGAAAAGGTATGTAGCAGTGTGCACCTTTTGAAGTTCGGAATGACCATGTTTCTGGATGTAATTGCGGCCAGATACATCCTCGTCCGAGCGCAAATGCGGTCAAATACATTTTAGATAGCCGTAGTGTGAGTATATGCCCTTAGAGCGAGGAACCATGCCGCTGTAAAATATGTGCCTGCTTGTCTGGCGTTTTCTCTATTCTGTTCTCTGTGAAAACCAGTTTAGCCTCCGTCTTATCCTGCTGATTTCAGAGAGTTGAGGATTAGGACAGGTCCTAGGTGGGAGCAAAACCCGTACATACGTCTCAGGGGAAGGGTCTGGACTCTGCAGCTTCATCGATCCAGATCCAGCGAGCTGCATCGACAAGTACATAGGCTGGGTGGAGGTCATGCAATCTCTCTTCAAAAGGAGCTGCTACGTTGCCCGTCCAGGAGGCATGGGTAGACAGGCACAACAGGCTACCTGGCTGCAGATGTGAACATCATATTTCACCCACCAGGTTGCCTGTCGGGAAGGCCTGCGGCCGCTTGCCAGAGAAGGAGCCTGTAGAGCGAAAGCTGGCTAGGGTGGAGTTTCGTGTTGGGTGGCACGGCGCCATGCTGACTGGACTGTGGCATTAGTGGGTGATGCAGAGGCTACCGTCTTCACCCAAATAGAACGCCCGGGAATTACCGTTGTATCTGGGCTGAAAGTTGTGCCAAATACAGCTATAATGATCGGGCGTTCTATTCGGGTGAGGACGGTAGGTTACACGGAAAGGGCCTCCACAGCAAGAGCCGACGCCCGCTGCTGTTGAGATTCGCCTGGCACTGGACGATGGACAAAGAGGAGACAGGCAAAGAAAGCGTACTTGCATGCATACCTTGAGAATGAGACATCATCTTGACTGGTGCTGGTAGGCTCCGATTCACACTTTTGGTCCTGATGAGGTTTCAGGGCGTCAGAGGTGGATTACAGACTCAGACAAGCGAAACTTCAAGACGATGACGAGTTTCACTTCAGTGTTTAGCTACATGGAGTTGCCTCGTGGTTGGAGCTCGTCTGACAGCACACCTGTGAGTCTTGGCGATATTGTTCGACCTTCGATTTCGGATTTGCATTTGGAGGCGGAAGTGGAGTGCATTTTCGTTCACGACAATTCATTTCCGGTGAGGTCAACTTGGACTCCTTGTGGGATTTCAATCCTTGCCAACATGTTTAAACAGATGAACTCGTGTCCAGAACACGTCTCGCGGTCCACAAGCCACTTTGTTGAAATGTATGTCTTCCCCACAAGGAGTCCAAGCTCGTGTCAAGTCTGTGAAGCACTTGTGAGGTTGGAAAAGATTAACCCTCAACCAGTGTTGTCAGCCCAGCGGTCGGCACCGCCCAATTGGTTGGGGGCCGACCAGCCGAGTGGTCGGCCTGTCGGCGCCTCCGGTTGGCACCCCACACAAAAAAAAAAATGGAAACCAACGCCCCCCACGCGTTATGCCCTTTGCGGGATTACCCTACTGTGTGTCTGTGTGCTGCTAGTAAGCTTCCCGGCCAGTAGGGCAATCCACCGCGGAGGGGCAAAGGTTTGAGGATGGGGTGCTCACAAGCAGCCCCCCGTTGCTCAGGAGGCTAGTGCCACAAGGGCTGGGCTGACTCTCCTCCTCTCTTCTTTTCTCCCTCACTGTCTTTGTACAAACATGCTTGGCAGGGATAAGTAACCGGACTGCTGCCCCCCAGAGTAGAAGGGGCCTGTGTGTTAAAAAAGAAAAAAAAGAAAAAAAAAGTCCACCCCTACTCCCCATAACCGCCCTCCCCCAACTCGCCTAAGCTGTCAAATCAAGCCAAATAGAACAAAGATAGATAGAAGAGGCACTAAACCCAGAGAGCATTCCAAGTGAGAGTACCTATTGTGGGAAAGACGAAAAGTCATGTGTGATCCTCCCATTCATTACGTACCGGGAGTACAAATCTCTGTCCGCCACGTGTATATCGAAGTTTCCAGAGGATCCCCTGCACACAGTAACGTGACCAAACAAATCAACAAAATCAAAAGATCTGTCTTGTCACAATCTGAAAAAAAGCGCACAAGTGCTCAATCAAGGAGAACATCCATTACCCAATGGCCCTAGCTCAGTTGGTACACCCATCAACTGCTGAAATACAGACCCAAGTTCGAATCCCGATGCAATCAGCAGAACAGACTCGAACTATTTACAAAGAAAGGGAGACCATCCATTTGACCTGTTAAAAGAGGTCAAGCAAGCTATACAGAGACACAGACGTGGACACTTTCCCAGAGCTCTGCAGGTGAGAAAAGCAGCAAAAAGAGCAAGTGAAAATGACAGACGATGTCCATTGTTAAGCCACCAGCACGCTGCGGGCCTTAACACCTTTCCGCTGGGGCACACAGAGGCTGCGGGCTGAACTGGTAGCAGGCAGGAGGTGCCCTCCTTGCAAGGGAAAACTGGCGGCGACGACTGCGATTAGGTCCCGAACACATCAGTTTTCTAGAGCCGCCATTTTTTCGTTTCCCTGCCGGCCTCCAGAAAGGCTCGGGACTCCCAGGGTTGGGTGCGACAAGACAGGGTCCTTGAACTGGTGGTTTAAGCAAACTTTTTTGTTACCTGCTCTTGCAACTGACTGGACAGCCACTCCGTGAGGATGCAAACATGTAGCATCGCCGGCAAATTGAAAAAGGCAGTGCGTCAGCAGAGGTGTGGAGCCTTTTTTCTATGAAATCTTCCTAGGACGACATCATGGGACGCGGGACCCAGTTTCCAGCCTTTTCTAGGATTTTTCCAAAATTTCCAAATTTTTAAAAGGGGCCCTGGGTCCAGTTCCCACCATGTCTGATCAGTGTGATTCCATGGGACGCTGGACCCCGTTCCAGGCAGGTGATGCTCCCCACCAATGCAATAGAGCCTGGCAAGGGTACCCATCGAGAGGTGCTCATACCACCGCGGGTAGTAACCCGAGCCCTGTCTTCAAAAAAAAAAAAAAAAGGCACTCACCTCAGCGGTATTTTGCAAGGTATAAAACCTGTGGAGTGTCTGACCAAGCTCCACAGGTTTTACCTCACAAAATACCACTGAGGTGACTCCACAGGTTTTATACCTTGCAAAATACCGCTGAGGTGAGTGCCTTTTTTTTTTTTTTTTTTTTAAGAATTCGATTTTCAAAAACATTTTCCCCAGCAGACTGGTAAGGTGCATCTTCATAGTATTAATATATTACCACCATGGCAACATTCTAGTAATACTATGACGAGTGCAATCTTCACAAACAGGATTCCAGCAGACTACCTACCGTCTTCCCCTGAATAGCATGTACTGTCATCATCGCTATATCTATTAGACCGCAAGTTGCCTAGAAGCACACCTATAATGACCGTGCATTGTATTGTATTTGGTGAAAGACTATAGTAGTATAGTCCATGTTTCCTTTCTGCTAAGGCCACAATAGAATTGAATAGATGCAATCTTGACAGACACATTTCTAGCAGGCTGCACAGCTCTCCTGTGGCATCCCAATTCAACACACTTCCCCCATTGGGTGGAAGACGAAGGCCAGTCTCTCAGCAGCATGTCCACTCCCACATGTTTCTCCACATATCTTCACGTCTCCTCACTGATATACCGCACGAACGCGGTCGGTCGCATAGGCTGGAGAGTGAGAAGACAGGAAGGCGAGGTGTCGTGGGCGAGGCAGCTCGTAATAGCCTCCTATGAATTGCGTCCGAGTCAGTTCTTTTAGGCAAGTTGGCCCTCTTCGCTCGCCTGCAAGACAACAAGTCTATGTTCTGTCCGGTTTTTGGATGGGGGGTATGACCAGGAGCAATGCTATCCTACGTAAGGCATCGAAGTACAGTTTTGATCAGGCTTGGTAGGGGTTATAATTTCTTGAGAGAAAGCATCGTCTCTGTGGCTTGGTGGGGTCTACTGCTATGCTATGTGAGGTGGCATTTGAGATGTCTGTTTGTTCAGTTTGCTTCCCCCTACCCCGCCTTAAACAACCCCCCCCCCCCTTGTTAGGAAATACCATGGCTGTGGTAGGTGGGTGTACTTATACTTATGGTGGGCCTTGGCTATCATGGGGTCTAACTTAGACTTAGACCTTGGCCTGGTGGGGCCTATTGGACACTGCCTGTGTTAGCCAGAGCAGGGATGCCGTAGGTACGAGGGTCTACCCACAGGGCCCATAGAGAATGCTCACCCCTAAGTGCCCAACGCACCCGTGCCAGAGGGCTCATTCGAGCATGCTTCCACCAGGGGTGAGTGGGGTATCCTGCTTAGCACTGGTGCCTGCAAAAACCACTGTCTGGTCAGATCCCCTCACTACAAAATGCTACAGGGGTGTGATTGTCTTCATCAGTCAACGCTGAGGTAGGACTGAAGGAGGGGGAGAGCGCCAGGGCGACTTTCGGAACAAAGGAGGGTGTGTGGTGTCTCATGAAGGGTGTAACGTAAGAAGGGGGGGGGGATGAAAACATCGTAGAGGACGAATCCTAAAAGTCGAGAACAACACAGCCATACAAAACAGGGACGGAAAGGGAAAAAAAAACAGAAAAAGATTTGCTGAAGTTCAGGACATGCTCGCACCAGGACTTCTTCTGCAGTCATATTCATAGAATCCGGTCATAACTGCGGTCAGATTGACTCAGGAAAGCGCAAGTGGCAGTATGCCCTCAGACACATCTGAGCTCGCTTCCGTTTGCTATGTTCAGCTGAGGCAAAAGTGGGGCTACACCTCCCTCCCTTCCCCCACACTGCTCCCCCCCCTCACGTCGGTTCTTGCTGAAGCTCAAGGCATACTCAGGGCCTCCTCACACTAGGCCCGCAAAATCACAAAATCGCAAAATGAGCGGCCAGATCGAGACCTTCGTTTACAAGGACGCCATCTGGCCACTCATTTTGCGATTTTGCGATTTTGCGATTTTGCGATTTCAAGGGCCTAGTGTGAATAGTAGCACGTTTTCAGGCAACCATGAGTATGACCTCAGTCGGTACAGCCATCAACTGTTCAAATTATAAACCTGAGCAGGGTTGCATCCCTGCCGACCGCCGACCCCGACCGCTCGGCGGTCTGCCGACAAGTTGGGAAACAAAAAAAACAAAAAAAAAATGTCCACTGATTTGTTTTCAAATCTGAGTTGGGGGCTTTACTGCGCTCGCTGAGTACAGCCCAAATCCACTGAGAAACTCTTGGGGATGGGAGGGGATATGGGGGGGTTGGAGTATAGGGGGGTATAGGGGTGGTATAGGGGTGGTATAGGGGGTACTGGGGGGGGGCGGGGGGTACTGATGGTGTTGGGGGCGGTTTAAGGGAGGTTTGAGGGGGTGTATGGGGGTATTGGGGGACACTATGGGGGTGTTGGATGTGTTATTGGGGGTTCTGGACCCCCCCCCAAAAAAAAAAAACCATTTTTTTTTTTTTTTGCGGGGTGCCGACGACCCCCGACCGGTAGGTGCCGACCAGCCGATTGGTCGGCGGGTCGGCAGCCGACCAGTCAAGGGCCGCCGACCGTCGGGGGGTGCAACAATGAACCTGAGTTCAAAATCTGTCCCCTATGTTCACAGGCGTACTGTTTGCTTTGGAATGTAGTACGATTGTTGAGTAACAAGGGGGAACACATAAACTAGCAAACAGGATTGAATCAAGTGCCAGGAGGAACCATTTCCCTCGGGCACTCTGTCTCCCAACTCTCTTGTGTTGTTAATGGTGTGCGCACACACTGGCAGTCTATTCTAGCTATGGTCCGTACCTGCCACTGCCCGTACCTGCAGGTTTTTTTTTTGGTTTTTTTTTTTACATGCAACATGAGAATGAATCTTCCTGGACCATAGGACCATACACCACCATATCTTTTGTCTTCTGTGCATGTGGTGAGGGCTGGCTGGCTATGGAAAAATAAATGGGTTTCCACCCAAGCCGCCTGCTATGTACTTGTATTCGAACATGAGCTGCCCATGCAAGGACAAAAGCGGCCGGCCGTGCAACTCCGCAAGCGACAGGAAAAAAAAGAAAAAGGACGGCCCCACCTCCCAAACGGCAGCGCTATTAAAGAAGGCAAAGCGGCCAGCATGAGAACTTTCCCAACGCTTTTTTTCTGTTTTTGGTACTCAGAAACATTCATGGACCACTACTCTCTACCAATTCACTAGAATATGTGTGTCAAAAAGCCTCCCAACCACAAATCAGATAGGTGTACCTGCCTTCTAATCCAAGCTGCCTGTTTTTGCATCCCACTGTCCGCACCTGCCTTTCCTTTCTATTCCAGCTGTGTCCCTTCTAATCCAACCTTTGCTTGATAGATGGTGCGGTATTAACGCGAAGAAGAGGAAGCCTGGGACGCTCGCAACAGCAACAAAATGACCTGCCCCGTCTACTGCAGGTCGCCCGCTCTAAAGACTTGCAGCTACCGCTTGCGCTACCGGTCTTAGACTTGTACACGACCACAGCCATTCCTATGGCACTCTAAACCCCAAAATGACCCCAAATTCCCTTCACTACACGACACGACAGTACGACAGTACCCAAAACCACAAGGTGCACCAAACAATAAAACGCAACCGGGTGAGAAGCAGCCTCCTGGCTGCGAACTTTCACCCCAAACAACGAAAAACGCACATGAATACATTTCTGAAGACGAGTCAACCTGCTCCCTTCGGCTCCGAGGGTCGCCGCAGCTTCAAGCCAACAACATAGCACACTTGGCATGTAAGGGAGGACCCCGTGTGTCTGAGAAAGAGAAAGAGGCAGATTGCACATCATCGCAGAGAAAAAAGAGAGAACTTCAAAGAAGTAGATTGTTGCCTCTGCTCCCACCTGCCCACCCTTCTGTTCCTTTTCCTCCCCTTGTCTCCAGCTGGCACACACCTACTTGACTCTTCAACTAACTGCTGGCAGATTGTCCCCTTCCCACCGTCAACCCCTACCGTCTTCACCCGAATAGAACGCCCGGTCATTACAGCCGTACTTTGTACAACTTTCAGTCTGCATACAGCCATAATGACCGGGACGTTCTATTCGGGTGAAGACGGTAGGCTCCAAATTTCATTTCGTTTTTTTTTGTTTTCCAAGGGTGATGGCTTTGAGGTATCATCCTTGAGCTGACGGGCCCAAGTAATTCAGAATTACTGTATTCTGTTCATCTGATTGCATCTGGATTCGAACTCGGGTCTGATTCATATTTCAACAGTTCATGGGTGTACCAACTGCGATAGGCCCGCCTCAGCCACCGGAATTCTGAGGTTACCAATGGGGCTAGCTGAGTCGGTAAACAACAACAACAATTGAAATACAGACCCAAGTTCGAATCCAAATGCAAGCAGATGTACATGACAAAAGAATTCTGCATTCACTAGGGCCAGTCAGGTCAATGACGATATACGGTATACCTCATTTTTTCTCAAAACCTGCCGCTCTTAAAAAACAAAACAAAAAGAAAAACAAAAAAGAAAGAAAACGATAAGAGAGAAAGTTCAAAGAACTAACTTTGAGAGGTCGCCCTTAGTTTCCATCTCTCATTTGGAAATTTTGGAGTCATTTTCGAAGGCCCCCCATTCCCCCTCAGCAGGGGTCTGACTTCAGATCTCAGAAGCTTAGGGTGAGGTTCTCTTACCACCGCCAGGATAGAGGGATATTGCAAGGTCTATTTTTCAACAAAAAAGAAAACGAAAAAGAAATCACAAGCGTTAACAACGGGTATAGCAACTTGTGTCCGACCAAGGTAAGGTAAGGTAAGGTACACCCCTACTCCTCTTCTGTTTTGTGGCAGGAATCTGGGACAGGGAGGGTGGCTGAAAAGCAACATTTTCTATCGAAAGCAAAGAAAAAGAACAGGGAAAAGACATATATAATATATCGTCAAACAGAATTGCCCAGTACCATGGTAGGCAGAGAGGGAGAAGAGGACAACAAACAAGGGGCTGTGACTTGTATACCTGTAGGCCAATCAGGGAGGGTGGGTTACAAGAGCAACATTTTCTATCGAAAACAAAGAAAAAGAACAGGGAGAATGGTTCAAAAGACATATATATATATATATATATATATCATATCGTCAATCGTCAAATAGAACTGCCCGGTAAACCGTAGGCAGAGAGGGAGAAGAGGACAACAAACGAGGGGCTGTGACAAACTGTTTCGTCAGAGTTTCACCGACTCATCAGGTATATATATATCGTCACAAATATATATTTGTGACGATATATATATCGTCACAATATATATATATGAACTCCGGCGAAACAGTTTGCCACAGCCCCTCGTTTGTTGTCCTCTTCTCCCTCTCTGCCAACGGTTTACCGGGCAACTCTGTTTGACTAAACCGTCGGCAGAGAGGGAGACGAGGACAACAAACGAGGGGCTGTGATATATATATGTATGCAATGACTTGCTGATTCCTGCTGCCGAGATTGTCTGCGAGGCTGTACACTAGCCTGTAGGGTTAGTTTTGCAATTTTGTTTGGCTGAGGGCTAACCGAGAGATCCGCCTGTGTGGAAATTCGTGAGGGACAGATCTGTAATTTCTGGAAAATACAGACCTGGTACTAACCGAGTTCCTACAGCTACCCTAACTGCCTATAGCAGGCCCGGGCTACCCTAGGACAGACAGGCCCTAAGCGGCCTATACTGCTATACGGTCCTATAGCCTATAGCCGGGTCCGGTAGAGGGCGAGAGGCCGAAACAGCAGCGGTACCGGTAGGTCCAGTCGATCCAGTCTAGGTCTAGGTTAGGGTAGGAAGTCTATAAGTCCAGTAGGGGAATCGGGTAGGGACTTTTGGCTTTTCATTTTCGCATGTCTGCGTTCGTGGCCAACCAAGTTTAGCAGCGCTGAATGTCTACAGCGGCACCTGCGACATCAGCCAGGGTGAAGCAGCCATAGCCGTCCCACATGAGACAGCCATAGCTGGGGCTGTGCTCAGCGCATCTATCCCCAGGGGATATCTGCATTTGGCAGGACTATCGGAGGGTCTTCACTGAGTACATGTGGGTACTACTGCTGCGGTAGCAGCTAGGCAGCCATAGCTGCCTTCTTCATCGTCAGAGTGACTCATCGGCACTGGGGACCACTTCGCTGTTCATGATCTGCATCTGGGTGTATGGCGCTGGCCTCTGGGAGGCTGTTTTAGTGCAGCGCTAGACTCTGAGAGTGTGGTAGTGAGTGGAGTGTGTGGTCTTGGGTGGCGAGACACTGGGTTAAACTCTGAAACGATAATTGAGGTTAATTGTGTTGAGTTGGCTCATCATCTGGGTTACTTTCCAATTGTGATCTTCGCAGTGTCATCTTGTGATTGGTTGTTGGGAGTTCATCAGAGAGAGAGAAGACCGTGTGTATTCTCCCCATCTGTGCATGATTGCTCCTCCGCTGTTTATCTCTGGTCTGTGTGCAGGTGGACTCTGTCTCTTCCTCCCCTTTGTCTCATGCATGTGTGGGCGTGTGTGAGTTCTTGTGTGTGTGAGTGGCAATCGAGTTGTCAAACAACCAAGTTCATAACATATAAACTCCGACGAAACAGTTTGTCACAGCCCCTCGTTTGTTGTCCTCTTCTCCCTCTCTGCCTACGGTTTACCGGGCAGTTCTATTTGACGATATATATATATATATATATA